GTGACCCTGCTTTGGCAGGGGGTTGGACTGGGTGACCCACAGAGGTCCCTTCCAACCCCAAATATTCTGTGATTCTGTGATTCTGTGATCCAGAAAACAGGTATTCGGGTCAGCAAGCTACATGTGGGAAGTGTCTGGTTGTGTTGTCAGCTTGCACAGTGAAGAAGTCCATTCTCTTAGAAGTGATGCTTCATAGAAGGTATTCTACTGTTTTTTCTGTTCTTTGTTAACTTTAGGTTTATGGGCTTTGCAGAGCCGTATGTTACTTGGACACACTGGATGTCTCATTAAAAGTCGTTTGAAGAGTTACAAGCTGAGGAGTTGTCTTTTTCACGGAAGAGTGAATGCCCCTAATACAGCTAGAGCAGTTCCAGCGTGGAGTTCAGTTTGGCTTTCAGCTGTGTAACGTGCCAGAGGTACCCCCTGACTCCTCTGGGCTTAATCTTTGTCTCTTTCCTAGGAGCTGATGCAGCAGAACGATATTGGCTACGTACTGAACGCCAGCAATACTTGTCCAAAGCCTGATTTTATTCCAGAATCCCATTTCCTGCGAGTGCCTGTGAACGACAGCTTTTGTGAGAAAATTTTGCCTTGGTTGGATAAATCAGTCGATTTTATAGGTGAGAAGAAAATTTAACTTCTCTCTCTGAAACAATTTCTGGATTCCTTTGTGTGTCTGCCTTGCTGTTTTGGCTGGAGAAGACCTGAACGCTTTCTGGGTGGTATGAAAATACCCTAAGGAGCTACATACACGCTCACCATCGCTTTGTAAGCAGAGCAGCAGAATAACACCGGGAGATTCTGCCCCTGCGCGTTCCAGCATTCATGGAACAAAGACACATTTTAAGAGCACAGCTCTGCTTTCTGGCAGCCTGGTGGATGCCTGAGACACGTCTGCAGAGAGCGATTTAGGAAACTGGACGTGCAGGTCCCGTCTTTAGCTTTGAGAAGGGAGCTGGCCAAACCTGAACTGCCCAGGTTGTTCCATCATGAATGCCTGCTTTTTACTTGCGTTTAAAATTAGAAACAATCACCTTTCCCAGACATCTAAATAGGGTTGTTTATGTGCACGTTAAAATGCGGTGTGCTGTAACTGCAGTATGTTTCCTGTGTGTAGTCGCATACTTTTTCTATGCTGAATGCTATACAGTGCTGGAGAAAAGAAGTGATTTTTGTTTAAAGCTTCCATGAGATTTGCAATTAGCACTTCGTTTGGAAGTTTTGAACAATTTTCAACAACATTGCTTTCTTTGCAAACTTTTCCTCGTGGTGTAATGCTGCTGAGTTTGACACTTGCCAATTTCTTTGCTGTGTAGAAAAGGCAAAAGCATCAAATGGCCGTGTGTTAGTGCACTGTTTAGCTGGAATATCTCGCTCTGCCACAATCGCTATTGCGTATATCATGAAGAGAATGGATATGTCCTTAGATGAAGCTTACAGGTAAGGAGAAAATTTCCCTTCATACTAACTCTTGTGCCCGTTGGCTTGTTTTTAAGGTGAATGATAACAGGTTGTATGTCTGAGGGTAGAAGCAGACGTGTTCTCTTACCTGGGAGTTCACTGGCCTCTGCACGCTCTTGCTTTAAACGTAGGCTTCCTCCACCAACAAACGAATGGTGCTGTGCAGACATCACGCAGCTAATATGAATTGCCCTCCTGAAAAATGCTGATGCTGTTTTTTGCCCGAGTAGGCAAATACATGGAATATAAACTGCTGGTTAAATGTGTATGTACGTACATACGGGTACACAGACAGCTATGGCATGGATATGGCGATATCCTGTAAGTCAGAGAGAGAATGGAATGGAGAGGGTTAAAGAGAGAGAACCGATAATCACGCTTATGGCAAACGCTAGGCTGGAACCGTGGCCTGCAGTTGGGTCTTTGGTAATGCTCTCAGGGAACTGCCTGCAGGTGAAATGTCTGGGAGTTAAGAAAGCTGCTTTGTTGCCGTTAAAGTCAGCCAAAACCTCTGGGAGAAAGTATTTGGCAGTATCAGCTCTTTGTGGCAGTAGGGAATTTTTGTGGAGACCCCTTTCCCTTCCCTCCCTTTTTAACCTTTCAAATCCCATTTTTTCTGTACTTGGATTGTGAACGCGTTACTGCCTTCCGGGTGGCTTGGTTGCAGTTTATCGCGACTTCTGTGTTTCACTTAACCACCTGCTTTGTTGTGCTGTGCAGAAAATGGTGGCTCTCTTTTCCATGGGCTGCCCAGGTTTGCTTCGGGGGCATAGGCGAAAGCTCGCAGTCGTACGGGTACGGGTAGCAGGGGTGAACTGGTGGATGGGGATGGACGCCGTGCAACGTACGACCTTGCGTCGCCAAAAAAGCCTCTCTGGTCTCAGGCCGCAGCGGTTTGGAGGTCAGAGCTGTAGAGGAAAGAAACATTTTTAATCTTTTGTATAATAGACGATACAAGGGAAACAAACTTCAAAATTAAAGGTTATGCTTGGCTTCCAGTTGGGAAGAAGAGCGTGCATTTTGAAATGAAAATGTTGCACGGCCTTAAAACATGCTGGGGGGATCCAGAAGACTTTCTTGAACCCTTTTCATTTTTTAAAAAGCTGGTTTCTAAATGTAGGACTGCCCAACATTTTAGGGCGAAGCGAGGAGAAAGTGGAAGGGATAGGCTACCAGAACATAGGCCAGAAATGGCAGCGTTGGCCAGAAGGATCTTGCTTTAAATAACAAAGCCAATAACAAGCACAACTGGGTTTGACTGGCGAAGAGTGAAGGAAGGAAGGTCCTGTGAATTCTTACGAGCGAGTTGCTTACGCTGAAACAAAAGCCCCCAGACGAGACTGACCTACAGAATCTCTTCGGAGGAGACTGACTGGTCTTCTCCATTTGCCAGTGCTGGCACTTCATGGTGGAAGTTTTCCACTGCCACTTGGCGCAATCTGATCTTCCAGGTCATCACGTCAGCTCGACACGTTCCGACTATTTGTTGTTTGGCAACTTATGAAACAAAGCTTACTTTTTTTTTTTTTTTAAATTTAATTTTTCATGCGCTTGCTTGTGTTTGTGCTACTGTACACTACTGCGTTCAGCTCTGGAGCCTTCAGCACAAGAAGGACATGGAACTGTTGGAGCGGGTCCAAAGGAGGGCTACAAAAATGATCCGAGGGCTGGAGCACCTCTCCTATGAGGACAGGCTGAGAGAGTTGGGCTTGTTCAGCCTGGAGAAGAGAAGGCTGCGGGGAGACCTGATTGCAGCCTTTCAGTACTTAAAGGGAGCCTATAGGAAAGATGGGGACAATCTTTTTAGTAGAGACAGCAGTGACAGGACGAGGGGTAATGGTTTTAAACTAAAACAGGGTAGGTTTAGGCTGGATATAAGGAAGAAATTCTTTACAATGAGGGTGGTGAAACACTGGAACGGGTTGCCCAGAGAGGTAGTGGAGGCCCCATCCCTGGAAACATTCCAGACCAGGCTGGACGGGGCTCTGAGCAACCTGATCTAGAGTTAGCGGTGTCCCTGCTCGCTGCGGGGGGGTCGGACTAGATGACCTCTAGGGGTCCCTTCCGACCCAAAACTTTCTACGATTCTATGATTCTATATGCACAAGGACACCTTCAGTTTTTTTTCATGCTGTTTTTAACGACTGCACACTCACCTTCTGTACACATCGCCAGGGAGGTTTTGTTTTTAATACAATTTAATTTCCCCAGTGATACATTATATGTGTGTTTGCACTAGATTTGGCTCTTCAAGGTTTCTTCCCTTGTTAATTCCCTTGTCATCTGGTACCTTCATAGTTCCAGGAATGCTTTCAAAATAAAAAGGAGGAAGGATTTGGGCAGCTTTCTGGTTTACAGCACGTTAAGAGCAAAGAGTACTTATTAAGCTGTGTTGCAGATGAGATGGGTAGGCAGCACTGCTTTTGTATTTAGCTCTCAGGTATAGGACGTGACTTCTTAGATCTTTCCACACATTTAGAGTCCTGATTCAGGAAAACATTGATAGCATGCATTGCACCTTGTCCATGTTCAACCGAGTATGTTGAACTTCGGCTGGCAGGCGTGTGCGAGTCGGGTGGCTTTCCTTCTTGCTTCTCCTGTCGGTGGTCAGTACTGGCGTCTGGTAGAAATCGCTGGCATTCGCCGTATGATGGATCAGAGCAGTTTGTCTTGCCTGACGAAGGTGAACAGGGTGGGAAGCGCTCACGGCAGTAATGACGGCACGGGAGAGGCGAAGGGAGCGCGGGATCTCATCCCAGGGCATGGTGGGGAAGGTGGCCCGCTGTCTGCAGGGCAGCGGAGGCTGAGGGCTCTTGGCTGGAGCTGCAAAGCTGTGCAGGCAGAACTTCACAGAATCACAGAATGGTCGGGGTTGGAAGGGACCTCTGTGGGTCATTTAGTCCAACCCCCCTGCCGAAGCAGGGTCGCCTGCAGCAGGCTTGAGGAGCTCTTGACTCTGGGGGGAAACCAAGGCAGAGATCCCACTGGCGAAGTAAAATAAGGAAAATCGTTCCTTCAAACCTTGTTGTGGACGTCATAAAGAGGTAAAAAGAATGACGCCTTCTCCCCTTTTAGAGACTTTTAAGTAAGCTACAGAGGGGATTGAGAGCGTCCAGCATTATCTTGTTTAAAAGCTGAAGAAGAGAAGGCTGCGAGGGGACCTAATAAATGCTTACAAATATCTGCAGGGTGGGTGTCAGGAGGACGGGGCCAGACTCTTTTCAGTGGTGCCCAGTGACAGGACAAGGGGCAACGGGCACAAACTGAAGCAGAGGAAGTTCCA